ATATTATTATTATTATTATTATTATTATTATTATTATTATTATTATTATTATTATTATTATTATTATTATTATTATTATTATTATTATTATTATTATTATTATTATTATTATTATTATTAATAGTAATTATTATTATTATTATTATTTGTTATTATTATTACCAAACATTTATTTTATAGTAAAATATTGCCAAATTTTATGCAACGTTATGGCTTATTTTCGGGTGTTTTCATTATCAATCTATACGCAACATTTTTTACAATAATTGCTCCATTTCGAATTCATAAATTTTGGTGATTATTTTTTCTTCTTAATTTATCATTGCTGAGTTTCGAATTCATTAGAATTGGTTTTTCAAACATTAATTTTTACAAACTAATCAGTCATGATTACATCTATTGAAGTAATTCTAATTCTACATTTCAGTTTTGTGGAGGCAGTAAAATTCTCGGAAAATTTTGTAGACTTGAAACTGTTAAAGTTTGAGTTGCTTACATCCATTATAGCCACCCTAGGATGCGGATGTATTCTATTCATTTTAAGTCATAGTTGGCAAAAGCCTATCCGAAATAATATGCTGTATGCTGTGAAGAATGCTATCAGTGATAATGACTATGCCCAGGTAAGTTTCTATATTTTATCAGTTAATCAGAATAAAGATTCATTTTGTGATATTAGATTGCTGATATTTATAGGATATTAATGTCATCCAACAAAGATTTGAATGTTGTGGGGTTTCGGTTCAAGGCGCAGAAGCGCACCTCATTTGGTTATATTATTTGTCACCTGATATTGCTTTCCGAGAGGATTTATACAAGTAAATTCAATTTGTTAATATTTATTCTGAATTTAAAAATTAGACAGAACGTTAGGAAGTACTTTATCATTTGTATCACACGATATTTTTGCAATAATTAGTAAGTGCAAATAGTTGATATTGTGGGGAAGTAAAAAGTGGTACGAATAGCCTGAATATCAAACAAGTTAAAGAGAACAATTTTACAGGTAGTTTTTCGAACCTATTTACGAGATCAAAACTCGACCATATTTTAAAATTCTTGGAGTGCTAACAACTCTAATAAAATAAGTTAATTAATTAACTAATTAATCAATCAATCAATTCAATCTAATTTAACGAAATATACTTCCATTCATGCAGCTACTGATATAAGGATGTAATGCAGGTTGAGGTATTGCAATCCATTTAATCAATATTTAATTCAATCCATTGCTAACACTTTACAATTTTAGTGAGATGAGTTCATTGCCATGGTCTTGCTGTCGATCCAAATATCGATCTATGTATTGCGATCAATTTGCATATGAACGATTCCTCATACCTTTTAATGAGACAAACTTTCGTCGAATACCAAGTTATGCAATTCGATTTAAGACAAATTGGGTATGTGTACTTTTATGTTTGCAGTCTAAAACATCGTTTTCTAATTCTCAAAAAATCCTGATAAAATCTTATCGCTTCGCAGCTAACAATATCAATTCCTCTCTACTCTAAATCTTAAATCTATGTAATATTTTAGAATAAAACATTAGATATTACAAGCTAAGAAGGAGTTGTAATTTCTTCGTGATAGCATCAAGTTCTAAATATGGCGTAATCAATTTCATAACATCTCTTGTGTCATCTCTTGTGTCTAATGGACATCTCTTGTGTCTAATGGACATTCTGTATTGTAAATTGAGACATGTCTGTCTTCAGTTTGCTGTCAAGAGATTTCAACACTTCCAACATTTTTGTCATTGTTGTGTAAATTTGGGAAAGTTTTGAAAATGCTTAAGAACTCCAAACTCTCAAAATTCTGAAAGTTTAAAATCACTACTTGCAACTTTTGAACGAACGGCAATGAAGTGTGAAACTTTTAGGGATGTACTTCGTTAAGTGATTGTAAACAAAGGCGAGAAATAGCGTTGAATTCAGTATACAAGCGCGACTGTTCCCAGGCTTTTTATCAGGCCTTCAAGAGAGGATTCTTTTACCTGAACGGTACCATGCTACTTATTTTAGGTAAGTTTGCAAATAAAATCTACACTTCCGGATCTTTTTTTCTTCTCGGGGACACCAATGCTGAAAAATCAATTGAAAGTGTACTCGTAGTACTCCGGTGATGATAAGTAACTTCCATTTATTTAATTCGAAACCCTCCGGAGCAATTCTTATAGTCTGGACGTAAGTTGTATCTTTTGTAGGATTATGTATGATTTCCGGATTGGCTATGACCAATCATCTTCAAACAGTCCTTCTAAGCAAAAACAATTTTAGAGTTATTACTCCATTGCTATGAAAGTTCATCTTTATAATGCATAAATGTAATTATTTTGATGTGAAGTAAATGCAATCGTTAAAAAATAAAAATGTTTAAAGAATTCTTTACTTAGTTGAAGAACAAAGTAACAAACTAGATATGCTGCAAAAATACAAACAAATATGTACAAGATTGAAATATTTACGACAGTTCAATATGACTTATCAAAAAAACAAAGAAAAAAGAAAGAAGAAGCAACAGATATTTCGTTTTCTTTTCTTTTTTTTTTCTCTAAAGTGAATGAAAAGAAGAAGTAGAATGACAAATTTGCAGAAAAGCACTTTCGACTTGCCTAAAAATTCCAAAAAAAAGCAATGAATATTTTTAAAAAATAATGTAACAAAATATGAAATTAGAAAGAAAATTGAACAGAAGAAAGATAAGCCAATTGCAAAAGGTTTGGATAATTTGAATGTATAATTGTTGTACACATCACTGTATTTTGCATACGAACAAATTATGCAATGTTTTACAGAGTAGCGCAACAATTTCTCATAAAACGATTGATTGCTACCTTAATTAATTTACAATTCCAACAAAATTGAAAATATCATTTCACCGTATTCATTCATTGTCTTTTCGAGGAACTGTTAAGTTACCAAACACTTCGCAAGCTAATTCGCAAGGAGTAATAAAAAAATTTACATGATCACTTTACATAAATAATAGCTAATTCACGAGAAAAAACATTCACCCATATAGAATTTTGACAAAAATTTGTGAAGTGAATTACGAGAGATTGATAGTGAAGAAATCAGTGCTGTAAAACATTTTGCTAACTTCAAAAAAGAAATACAAAGGTTTGAAAATTAATTAGGAGAAGGTGAAAATGCACAAGAACTTAAGTTAGGGGAAGGTTAAAGTAAAGAAAGTGCACCACAAAGGATAATAGCAGCTTAAAACGATTAAAAAAAATCCTTCAACCCTCAAAAAAAGTGATATATTTCAAAAATGTTTTCCTTTTAAAAGAAACCTACTAATCTCGTTTTAACTCTTCCTTAATTCGTATTCTTGCATAACAGGCGGAGGTATTTCATATGTGAAAAGACGTGGGCTTCTTTCAGGTCTTTGTTAGCGTCACACTGAAGTCAGTTACTCGGATGACAGGAAAATTTAAGCAGACGACTCAAGAGCAATGCCTTATTGATCTAATGTATAGCACTGAAACATCTTTTCTTTTTAGTGAAAAAAACCTAAATTTGATTTTAAATTAAAACAAATTAGCTCGAGAATGTTATGGCACTTGCAGCAACATCTGAGTTACCTGTAGAAGATATATGAAATGCCAGGATAGATCAATCATGAAATCGAATTTACGAAAATAAAAGAAGAATGCCTAAATTTACATTCACAGAAAAATTATTTGAGCAGCGAAAAAGAAAAAAGGCAAAAAATTCTAGCAACAGATGAAAATTAAAACATTCAACAAGAAAAAAAACTCGCAAAAAAATACTGTACAAGAAAAAAAACAGGTTCCTTCAACAAGTTTTTCTCTATTTCCATCTCTAATATCACAAAATGCAATAACTAAATGCAACACTAATTAAGGAATTTAAACTATCCTTTCACTTTAAACTTTTGAAAGTTTTAAATATCAAGAAAGGGAAAACAACCTTTTAAAACCTAAGAGCATTTGACGAAAATTTGAACAGCTTATTGTTGCCGCCGTTTCTATTGCTGGAGGTAGCATTAGATGATGAAAGAAGTGGTGAAGTTGAGTGTTGTGGACCAACCATACTAATCGGAATTTTAGCAAAAGCATTTTTGACATTAACTTCATGATCCTGACCAACTGGTAAAGCAGAAGTTGGTACATTTATTCGTCCTGCATTCTTGTTATCCAACAAAGACGAATTCCAGTAGAAACGATCATTCTAAAAGTATACTTTATTTTTCAGCAGTAGCTCAGAGATAATTTATCACTCATAAGTTTTAAATTTGATAACTTCTCCGGTTTCCTGAGGAAAAAAAGCTGAATTTGGCTTATATAAATGTTACTTTGCTGTGAACCAAATTCACACTTCAGCATTGGATAAAGGCAAAAATTTTACTTTTACGAGGTGGATATGAACCAAAATTCGAGAAAAATGAAATGCTTACGAATGAACTACTATTCAGCTTCTTCGTTCAAGAGACGTTCAAGAGACTTATCAAGAGACTTATGAGATTATAATAAAAATTTGATTAAAAAACATTGCAATAAAAAATGCAGAAAAAATCCCTGTGAATAACCATATCTAAAATCATCATAAATCTTGAGAAAATGAGAAAAAAAGCTAACATGTAAAAAATCTTCAGTGACTGCTGATGTCGAATTATGATGGGCATAATTATTCTTAGTGCCTGTTCCCATACATCCATTTACCTATGGAAAACTTACTGTTACAGTTCAATTCTCCAAAGTAATATCTTTTTCAAAATTCCTCATTTGAAAACCTGCTGTTAAAATGAATTTAAAAGAGATTCGTGTCATTCTTTGTTCAAATCCCATATCAACCAATTTTATATACGAATTAGTGAGAGAAAAATTAGCGTATAGAGAAACTGGGAGTAGAAAACTTTCATTTTTGCATGGTCTATAGGTATTTCGGACCCAAGATTCGGAAACTTTCTGAACCGTCACCTTTAGACCACCGGAATGATTTATTTCATTCATTGTCTTATCCGTAAACCATATTTATTCTTCAGGATCAATTTTTACTAACAACTTGCCATGTTATTTCAACATTATTTATCTCCTGATCCACATACCTGCATTTCAACAAATGCACCGCCAACCCGTCTCTTCACAAGATCATCAGTTTGTTGGTCGCTTGAATCACGATTTTTTTGCTTACAAAGTGAGGCTGGCACTGGTAAATAAGTTTTTTCATCGAACAAACGAACCTGAAGGAATTTCGAGTTCAAATTCAATTAAAACGTAATGACTTTGTAGAAGAATTCACTGTAGTTTTAGGTGAATACTTCAAAGTCATATGTAAAACATAGAAATTAGACAAAAAAAAGTCTTCTGAATTTCACGAAACTTTTTTATAACAACCAAAAGAGAAACTACTCATCATTAGCCACAATTTCATTTGGATAACTTACAATTCTTCGGAAAACTTACCTCACATGGTGGTCCAAATAGTGACAAAAGTACTGGCAGAAGCACAAGTCCATTGATGAGACCAATTAGGATGAGCGCCGACAGCACAACGAAAAAATATTTCACAATAAATTCAAATTCCGAAAACGCTAACATTATTATGCCTGAAACTGGAAAGCAATTAGTATTTTAATTTCTGTTCCAAAGTCCAAAAGTCATACCAACCCTTCAGAACATTAACGTATATAAATATATAAATATAAGTACAAATATAAATGTAAATATAAATGTAATAAAAAATACAAATATAAATGCAATGAAAAAGATATAAATATAAACATAAATGTATATACATACGGATTATTCAAATCATAAGATGTTACCAGCAGCTCCTTTTAGACTAATATCATTTACGTAAATCACGAAAGCAAACTTGTAAAAGTATTCAAGAATAAACTTTCGCAAAACGAAAGTTTAAAATAATTTCTGAAATAAAAAAAACAAGCCTAAAAGAGTAGATAATCCACCATGTATCACAGGAATAAACATATGATTCAAGCAAGCTGCCATTCTTTCATTTTTGCTGCCCAGCGATGTAAGATATACTAGCACAACATGTACTGTAAATTCCACGCCTAAAAGAAATATTAGTAAAGAAGTGATGAAAAAAAAAAACATATATTTTCAGTAATCTAAAAGAATGAAAGGAAAAAATATCGTAAGTGTATTTTGTAATCCACATCTAAAAAAAGGAGAAGGATAATTAGCAAAGAGATATCAAATATGAAAGGAGAGAAAAATAAAACTTTAAAAAACTTGGCAATGAATCATTATTAGAATTTAGTTATAAATGTATTGTTACAATAACATGGTCGAATTACAAAGCAGGACTACTAACTTCCTTAACTAGTCCATTCTCTTTTAATAAAAACAGATCCAAACGAAACACACCGATTCCAACGGCAGCAACTAGTGTAACTGCGCTAACCGGATTAAGCTTAACACCGGTAACGCCCATGAAACCGGCCAGTTCGACAGTCATTGAAATGACCACAATGACGACCATCATAGCCGCCCAAGGATTAAAAACTAATACCGATATAACAACAAACACTGCACTAGTAATTACACAAATAGCAATAAGTAGATTCCATCTGAAAAAAAAAGTGTTAACTAAGAAACTGAGAATCAAGAAATCATTAAAAAGAAATCCTTTTCACCTCTACTAAATCTTTCAATTCTTCATCCACCCCACACCTTTACCACCGAAGACAAGGGACTTTGATAAAAGGACCTTAGATTTTTTTTTTTAATCACAAATTACAAAAATAATTAAGAAACTCCCATAAGATGACCACCGTCCCATTTTCTTTACCCTCTCTGCTTCTGAAAAATTTATAAGACTACTCACTTTAATTAGCTACAATTTTTCATACCAAAGAACACTTAAAAAGCATTTTCACACTTTAAAAAAATTTGATTTAATGCGACCTCAAACTGAGATATTGCTCCCAGAATATGAATGCAATACCGCTTGGGAAATTCGGCAATCCTAATTCTGTGTATCGGTCACAAACACTTCGAATTTCCTGCAAAACAATCGGCCAGGTCTTTTTTAAGAATTTGCTGTTTGGATAATAAAAAGTGTTGAATGACTTTTTGATAATGAATTTCCTTTTTTTTAAGAAAAAAAGTTTATCAGTGTTAAGCAAATATTTTGTGTGACTGCTTACGGTTCTTAATTGTAGAATGGAAATGTCATGGATCCTATCTACAGTGCATAGAAAAGGACGAGCTACTAATGAAAACGTGAAATTTGCGTAATAAAGCAGATAAATAAAGTATAAAGTAAAAAAGAAAACTCAAAAGTCTTACTCGTATCATCTTTACAATCACTGGTGTATCAACCAAATCGGTAAGATAGAATGGTATTTGACTATAAGCTGGTGGTAGCGCTGGAGGTACGACTTTTTCATGCTGAAATCACCATTCATACCATCAGATGTTATTAAATGTTAGAAATATTATAATCCGATTTCTACATCTTCGATTAAATTTGGTAAAACAAACCGAGGTAAGTGTCCATGAAGGAGGTACCGGGTAAAATGAAGCTTGGGAAACATAATACATCATATTATCAACATTGTACCATGCAGTCAAATAATTATAAAAACCATCAGCATTGATCACACCAGCGTCATTTACCAATTTTACGGTGCTAATCTAGAAACAAATCGCTTTAATCGATATTGGTGAACAACTTTATGGAATGCATTAGTTCTTTTTGCTTAAAGATACCAAATATCGATTAAATATTGGTTAAAACAACAAAGGTTATTAAATTAATTTTGTGAAATATATTAGCCATATATAATTCACTAGACATTTCTAAATCAGGTGGCACATTTAAAAAATCAATCTAAATTAAAATAAAATTATTTTTATAAATATTTCATAAGTACTTACTCGTCCTGTGCAATTATAGTTATTGCCGTACGAGCAAACAAGACGTCTTGCAACCTTTGCTTCATCAGTAATCTTAATATCAGCCTTGATCGCACCGGTAACGGCATTTATATCACCTTTTTTGATAGCAATATCTAAATGCTTCTGAATTGAACTCAACCAAGTTCGCATCATCGATAACCAATACTCTTCACTAGGATGACCGTTCACTTTGATCACATAGCTTGATTTTGCTAAAACAGCAAACTGCATTCAAAACATAGCGAACTGCATGAAAACGGTAAAAAAATAAAAGAGTTTCATGGAAAACCAAAATAGAAAAGAATAAAACTTATCATTTTTGACTTTTCTATGAATTTCCAAGAAGTAATAAATAATTCCAATAATTTTTTACCGATATCTAGGCGGTATTGCTCGATTTGTTCTTGTTGTTTTGCAAAATTGATTTCATTGCCTTTTAAAATAGCAAACATCGGAAAAAAACTGAAGTACTTCTCTCGTGCTCTCAAAAATGCAGCTGGGGCTGTTCCTTCTGGCAGAACATCAGATAATTCCAATCCAAGGCTTGATTGATAAAGACCAAGACAGCTAATTAATAACATTGATGTGCATGTCACGATTACCATCAACTAAAGATTAAATTTATCAGTCAGTGTTTAAATTTCTTGCTAGCATTCTGATTTTAAATGACAAAGTTCTCTTGTGAAACTGAATCATCTCTGATTAACACTAACCTTTGTAAGTGGCATTGTCAAGAAAGGGATGTAATAATATTGCAAGAATCCACTTAATGTATACCGACTCTTCTTATCATCATCATTCTTTAGCAGCAGAGAAGGTGGTGGACCAGGATAGATATGACCAGTTGTCGATAAACTTCCCACGACTCGTTTTCCCATATTTAATTCTAAGGATTCCACTCTAAGCTAGAACAGAATAACTTATTATCTGCATGAAATTATCCAATATTTATTTCTTGAAAATTCATCAGTTCAATTATGCAAGCTAAAAAGTCACTTTTTAAAACAATTCGCCATCAAACGGAACTTTATTTTTTCTAAAAAATGATATAAATAACCTTTTTGGTGTCTACAGAACTTCCCATATAACAACAACCCAAATCCCGTCTGCTAGCACGACGTCGTCGTAAATCTAGTGCAATCATGGCCGGATAGATTATCATGATAGCGACGATATTGAATGTCAATAAAATCGCTGTCTGCAATTCTTTCTTTCTTAAGAAAAAAAAAGAAAAAACAATTTCATTTCCCATTTTCTTCCTTCATCAAGTTTTAACAATGTTTTAAAACCGAAGGAAACATATTTCTAAGCAAAAAAAGTAAATTTAAAAGAAAAAAATCCATGAACCGATCAATCGTTGGAATGTACTTGCACTAAATGTTTCTCTCGCATAATTTTCGCTTCTGATGGAAATATACTCTTCAAACTAGTGGAAGCATATTCCTTTTAAAAAAAGATTCTAAAATGATGTCAAAATAGATTTAGGACGATAATGTTGTTTGACCTACTTTGTTGTTGATTTCGTTAAATAAATTTTTGTTGTAATTCTTATGCTTCCCCTAGTTTGTTGCTACCATCAGTTATATAGATAAAGCCTTGTTAATTACTACCATTTCTTCGCATAAAAGTTTCCAAAAGAATCTCATATATGAGACAAAATTGAAGGATGTATGTATGATAAAGTTATCAAGTTAGTGAAATACCAAAAATTAAGAGATCATTTAAAATTGAAGCAAAGTGAAGGGATAATGCAACTGAAAGACGAGTTACGGAAAGGAACTTACCTTAAAAGATTATTATTTCATTCGTGGTAAAAAACAACTGATCTTTAAAGTAATAAACAATTGATCTAGAAATAAATATTACCTGAGAACAAAACGACTTCAGAGCTGGAATAGGAAGAAGTGTGCCAGCCATAAATGCAATAATATTATTTATTGACGTAATAACAACACTCATACCAGTCTCCTTCATTAGTATACCTTCAATAATGTTGATCAAATTATGCAAAAAATAGAATTAGTTGGTTTCAATTCTTTTTATGGAAAAAAATTATTTGTGCAAATCTTTTAAAAATTTAGATTCCAGAAGACAATTTATGAGTGATTTGCAAATCAGCAGGATGCATTCGAAAATTTTCTCTGCAAAATGAATATATACATATATATACATACATATATAAAGTGACATACCAATTTCGTTATTTTTAATAGTATGATGAACATCCTTATAGTTATGCAGCAATAAGAACATATCATCAACGCCCAATCCAAGCGTCAAAAAGGGTACAATCTAAATCTACTAATAATTATACGAAATTAACATTAATAAGAGAGAAAGAAGTTTGATTAGCTTAACTTTACAGTTGCAGAAGTATCCTTTAATTTAAACCAGGCGTCAATGAGCTGGCATGCAATCCGCTACATATAAAATATTATATTATTAAAAAGACTTATCCTTAACAACACGAAATAATTTTTGGTGGTGTCAATTTTTAATTTTGGTGCAAATTAAAAAAATAATTTTGGAAATAGTTTTGGCACAAACGAAATGATTTTAGTACAAACGGAAAATTTAAATCTACTTTTGCAAAACATATTATTCGCTTGCAAGGTTAAAATACCGACCAGCGGATTATTAAAGGATAACAAGCAGCTCTTTGTTGTCAGGATATCCTTCAATTTTAAAATAGGCAAAGTGCGCAAAAAAAAATTGCAAATGAGAATAATACCTGTGTTGTAGCTGCGTTACAATGAATACCGATATATGCAGATGCTCCAAGACCGGAAATACTCGCATAAGTAACCAAAAAGACACCAAGGATACTAAGACCGACTGATGAATTTACTGCAAACCACCAACCGTCCCAGTTTAATTGTGACCATCCCGCATAAACGAACTGCAATTTAGATTCAAATTAACAGAATGTAAACGGAGCAGTTAGCTAGGATATATGGAGATTATAGCATTAGTTATGGTCAGAGAAATTCAGAGTCTTTGAAATGTGGTGCAGTAGAGATAGCATATGACCCATGATTTCTAAAAAGGATTCACTGATTCACACTGGATGTAGTTTCTTAATGATGACTACCTTGCTGACTAAACTTTGTTCTGAATCTTAAAAAAGATCCTAATGCCTTGAAACAAGTTATGATAATGTTCAAATGCAAAAAGAGCTCAATACGCAAAATTATTTTGAAACTCGTCAAAGATTGGTTAACGGAAATATTAAATGAAATGAAATCTTTTTTAGTTATGCACGACGATGTATCACTGAAGCTTAAAAATATGGCGGTGTAGCTCGCTATGAAGAATAATACTTCTTTCTAATCTGTTATTGTGGCTTCCCACTAGAAGTGATCTTTTAATTTCGTTTTGTTCGTAAAAGATTCAGTTTTAAATCGCAACATAAATGTTTATATTTTAACGCCTGACAACTATGTAACGGATATTTAAGTCTTTTTTTTGCACATTACTTTCCAATTGTTTTACAATTTGCAGTGCAATCTTCTCTTGAGTTTGAGCAATTTTACGGGAAAACCTTTATTACTCTGTTTTTTAGTAAATGCAATTTCCAAAGTTGTAGAAAAAAAAAGCAAACCATTAGTAAATATCCCATGAAGATAACCAAAAATTTGAATTGACTGAATTCCTTTAGCATATCCTCTAGAGATGTTGATGAAAGCGGATGTAACTGACGGTTAATCTGAAAATTTTCTTCTCGAGATCAATTATGTAATTTGTAATTAACTGCAAGAATGATTAGATAAGCCGTGGAATATTTCAGGGATAATAAGTATGGAGAAAATATTACGAAAAAGACAGGTAATATTATCAAAATGAAGAAATTCTCAAAAGTATTGAGGAAAGTTATTTATAATAACTTACAAATTTGTTGTGCCACATTTTAACTCAAAATGACGATATTCTCATGAGTTCTGTTGAGCTTTAGCTTATAGATAAAGTTATCTATAAACTAGGATGAACTAACGAAAAGGAAACTTCATATGGGGTGGAAATAAATGTAAAGTTGCATGTGAATACAGCAATACAAAATAGCACATGTCTTCTACCTCCAGTAACTTTCCACCAAGTCTGCTGGCAGTAAAATTAGGTTAATTCTATATGATAGACGTAGTATCTCTAAAAAGAAAAAGTTTCCAATACAGTCTCATATCATTTCTACAATTGCAATAAGATGTTGTTATTATGATATTATGAAAAGATTTAGCTTAAATTCAGCTATAAGATAAACGTCCACCTCTGTATTCCAACGATGTTTATAGATGTGCTGCGTGAAGTTTCGCTGCCAAGCTGAAACAACTTGAGATGCGTAGTATGGATTCCAAGCGTCAATATTTAAATTTGGCTTCAAATCCCTCTTTTGCGCCTGAAATAAAATCTAATACTGCGAGGAGAATAAGTAGACTTGGATGGGTCTGAAACAAATACAAAGCAAATCATAACCAAATTCGTCTGGATAGTCAATTTCTCTAATATCTCATCGCCATATATTCCCGACTTTAACCATAATAATCTTAACAAGCTCAATTCCCTTTGTCCAATCACTTCATTTGATGCATAGTCTGATTAATTATTGAATACAGCTATCTTTAAACACAAGTGAAAGTATGAAATAGATAATCCATTACTCTACGTATGATTTTGCAAACTTATTTGCGTAAGCATGTCAGTACCTGAAATGAAATAATACCCTTAAGGAATGAAATACAAAAGCTGATCAAACCTTATAACGTGAAAAGATATCACTACCAGATGCAACCAGGAAAATACTTTGGAAAGCTTCTGCACTTATTAATTTATGATTTTGTCGCTTGATACCACCAATTATTAAATCTTCCGGCCATATCATTGTATTTCGAGCAAATCCCCGACATCCACCTGTCATTATTTTTCCGTAATCTGGATACTCCGGCATTTCTTCCTGAAATAACATTCAATTAATAGGAAGATGAGCGATGAACAATAATGCACCAATTGTGGCTAAAATAAAAAAAGTAGGGACCTTCAAAACAGCATAAAAATAAGATGCATAACTGTTCCTATTTGATCAAAATCAATATGACTAAACAATTTTATCATATCCTTAAAACAGTAAAATACCAAAGATAGCCTTAGAAATAGATGTCGATGTTTAGACCAAGTAGCATTGAAAGAATGACGCAACAAAAACAAAGGAAGTCAGATAATGAAGTTCAATATTATAATTGAAAAAGTATAAGGAAGAAAACGGAAGGCAAAGTTATACCAACCAGTGTCAGAAATTCGCTCCATCGATGTTCATTCTTACCCATCCATTTCAAGAAACTTTTACGGTAACCCAAACATTGTTCTTCTCCAGTAATTTTCTCTTTAGCTATAAAATATTACAAGGATTTAACACATTATTTAGCTGACCTATCACAAAAAAATCTTCCACAATTTTTAAAACATTATAGCTAATATTTACCTATTACTGTACAAATATCTACTTACACTTTCGTGTAACATTTTTAAAAACTTTAAAGATTTCATTGCAAACAATACCACCATTTGATAGTAAATATGATCAGTTTGATAATGAAAAATCACATATTATATCCCACTAAGTGCTGCAGAGAAAATTTTTTTAAAATGAAAAATTTTGTACTTATAGTAACTGGCAGAGAAATTCAGTAAAGAATCAACTGTTAAGTGTCAATATTACATCAACTACTTGAGTTCTTATTTCGTTTCACTTCAAAGTTTTGAATCCCATAAGTTGAAATAACTATACTTTTTGTAGAATTCTGAATGATACCATAATCATCATCATCATATGCATAATAATCAGAGCTTTTATCTTCTGTATAATTTTTCGCATTTGGTTTCATTGTTGAGGATGCTACTTCTCGTTTACGTCTTTTTTTACCTGAAATTACAAGGTGCAAAACGAAAATAATAAATTTGATAAAGGTTGACATTACATATTATTGCAAAATCCATCAACTTCATATTTATTTCTATTAATTAAATTTTGTAGAATAATATTTGTTTAAATGAACTTTTTCTCCCATTTTTTTAGATTCTCTGTGTTTTATCCTTTATATACATATTGTTATTAAAAATTTCACAAGGAAATAAATCTAAAAAATGTATCCTTAATTACAGTATATAATTCTCTTGAGAATCTAACCAAAAATATCGTCAAGAATTTGTAATGTAGCATCTTCTGGTTCCGACTTAGACGTCGATATTGTTTCTGATTCCAGTTCGATCTGCTTACTTTTCGGCATCGCCATATTCCAAGCTTGGAATTTCTTAAAAGCTAAACAATGATCGAAAGTATTTGGTGCTGTAGATGGACATTCAGGATCTAACGGGTCAATACACCAACGGTCCAAATAAGCAGCTCCTATTCCAGCCTGCAAATAAGTAATATCACTTATGACTAACGAAATATGGACTGTTTAATTAAGGTAAATTAGATTATATTAAAAAAGCTATTTGAAATTCGATAAAATTGATCATCTCAAACATTTCCTTTCCTGTTCCATTTATCAATATCACCAAAAATTCGTTTACTCTTTCAAAGAAATTGAAGATTGTTCCGAGATCGAAAAGCATTGAAACTTCTTTTAGCACTGCTGAAGGATCCAAATTTTTCCACGTTATATTACCTTTTGGTAAGGAAGTGATAAAGGCATGTATATCAGGCCTGCAAGTGTTACAAATTTAATAAGTACACCGTAACTTTTAGCATTTATAACTTGAGGCAAAATCTAAAACATTGTCCTGGCTATTTGAATAACATCAAGAATTTAACATACTAGAAATTACAACATGATTGGTAGCATAGCCTTACATGTGATTATAATAAATTAATTAAATGAACAGAACAAAATGTATCATCCCACACTGCTTACTCCTATTTAGCAACACTACGACGGTATGAATTTTCAAAAAATAGCGAAAAGTTTTCTTGAGGAAATAAACAAACCCTAAAGTAAGCGGTGGTGACGGTCCCAGTGGTTTCGAGCCTTCCCAGAAGCAATCAATAGGTGTAATCCAAATGCATGGAATCAAACGATCCAGCAATTTGGACATTACATTTGCAAATGGTCCACGAGATAATTTTGGTGACGGTGGTTTGAAGCATATGTCGGCTAATGTCCAGTTTCTAAAATAACCACAAACTTCAAATGAAATAAACTTACTGAAAAATTTCATATGGAACATAAATTTTTGTACGTCTCTCTGCTCAATATTTTATCTATCATCTTTGATAACAAGAAAAAAGAAGATGAAAAGAAATTTCTCTAAGGATTTTGATGAAGAATTTAGTAAAATAGCATAGCAAAATTGAAAAATTGGATTTGGAATTTTTGAAATTATTTGCTGAATGAGAAAAACATACTCGCCATACATTTCCACCCGAAAATTAGCAATTTCTTCCATAATTTGAACATGTTTAAGTAACGATTCTTTGGTTAAAGCATTCGTTCCTTTCACTGCGGGTGTTTGTATTACAACCTTGAAAAACTCAATTTTGAACAATAGATTACATTCACACTAATACATAAATGATTTCATATCAGTAATGGCTTCCATGAATATTAGTTTATCATTTATTCGAGTTATATACCTGAAATCGATTATCAAATGCATTTTGTAGATCCGCATCAACGCTTTTTTCATCTTTTCTATCATTCGTCGATTTTATGGAAACGAAAGATTTATGAATATCTGCAATTATCATTGTCAAATGAAATAATGGGTAAAAAAAATAAGGTAAAAATTAAAAATAAAGAAAATGTAAAATAAAGAAGAAAGGGGATTTAGAAATTTCATTCGATAATTTTGAATAATTTGAAAAAGAGATTAGCTGGATGAGTTTTATGATAGATTATCACTTCTTCTCATTGTAAAAGGAAAAGGAAAGTGATTAAGGAAAGATAATTTCAAAATGAATTTAATGAAATAATGTTTAAAATTAAAAGATATAAAACAAACTTGAATTTTCAAAATCGGCTAAACGTTTTTCACGAACTACACCGTACTTACTATTTTCTTGCATGCGTTGAAGAAAATGCAATTCTTCATCTAAGCGTCCGCCTTCTAAAAATTTACGTAATTTTCCTGTCAACCAAATATGAAATGACTAATTCTCCAATACTGCCAATTACATTCTAACTATAAATAGGAAAATAATCATTTACATTCGATATTATGTATAAATAATTACAATTAGTTTCAAATTAATAAAATTGATCCTTTTAATAATAACAAAAGAAAAAAAGATTTAAAATGCCTAAATTTGAAAATTTTGTAAAAAAAGAAAATAAAGAAATGTTTGATTTAAACTTACGTGACACCCATAATTTGATTAAATCAGTTTCGATATGCACATATTGAAGTCCTAAGGCGCAAATCAAATAAACACTTAAACCAACAATGACAACAGACCAGGCCCAGTTTTGTACAAATGAACCCAATGTAAAAAGTAATGATTGAAAAAAGGAACGTAAATAGAGTGCTAAGCGATTACCCGTTGCTATACCCTGCAAAAAAAGAAAAAAAAAATTAGGTTTTAATTTCAGGATCATATTTCGTTCCAGTAGCTGTTATAAGTTCAAACAGACTTTTTAGTAGCTTTGAAACTTTATCCAGCCAAGTCTAAGTTGATCTTAAACTTCTTTCAGTTTAACGCTTTATAATAACTGTTCTGTTCCAAAATTCTTCCAAATTTTTACAGTTTGTAGTTCAGAATAGCCGATAATTGCCATTGAAAATATACAATTATCTATTTTTGAGGTTATGGATGGGAAGAATGAAAATGTCATCAATGTCACACGAATTAATAATTGAAATAAAACTATCAATGCTTGAAATGCAATTAAATCATATCATATCTTTTGATTAGTCTTTTCATCTTTCACATTTACATCTAATTTATCGCTAAATTAATCCATCAATTATTTTTTAATTAATTTCCGTAACTTCCTCAATCTGTTGCTAGAAGCATCTGAAGAAGTTCATTAAAATCTATAAGTAAAAAGAGAACCTGATTTATCTGTTGTAATGTCATATCCGCATCACACCATGTTGGTCGTGATGTGAATTCTTGTTGCCATTTTTCTGAATATAATGCTGAATCGGATGATTTCTTGCCAACCAACCATTTATCCAGAATCTGAGAAAAGAAAACCATACTTTACAGTATTCCCAACATTAGAATAATTAATTGTATAGAATTTAGAATCTGCTAATTGAAAACGTAATCTGGAATAAAATTATTGGAATTTTTTTATTTTTTTAAAATTTTCATTATTATTTGCATCTGCCAAAAATTGATTTCTTATTAAATTGCTTAGCATTTATTAATGCCAACTATTATTGATCGATCAAGTTTGAAGCAATGTCAAGTACGACTAACATTTCGATCCTTCTCGACAACTTGTTATCAAAGTGCAATAGGCTATGTAAAATCAAGACGACAAGAAATTTTGTTGATGGCAAAGGTAACGATAGAGATGATGAGGTTGAAAGTAGTGATAGAGCCAATGATAGCAATATCAAATGATAATGATAAAATAGAACATGATAAGGACGATGATATCAATCAGATTATTGATGGTGATGATAGTGATGATAAATAAATTAATCATGTAGACTATAAAATCATCTCAATACTAATCATATTTTTATAATTTTGAAACTAATAACTAAAAAAGGAGCTGCAACACTAATTAGAATAATCCTTCGATTACAAATACTTAAGTAATTCTAAAAATATGCAGTAAATTAAAAAATAGCTTAAACTCTTTCCTTTTCCTTCCTTCTGATTGTTTTATTTTCTTTTTTAATTTCTTGTCTGATATAAAAGAGAGAGAAAGAGAGATTAAAAAACTATAAAAGCCAGGTATCTAAAACGAAGTTACGTTGAAAAATCATTAATAAGACATGTGGTTTCAAAATCTTTTTAATAATTATCATCGTTCTAATGTGGAATTAGTCACAAATGTTAATTAGTAATTAATGGTGCCACTTTTCATAAACTATTTTTCGTCTTTATTAATTATGTTAAATTGGAAAAATACCAAATACATTATAATCCTTTGCAATGGACAGTACTGCTTATTAGGCACAAAATGAAAGAAATTTCTTTTTTGTCCCAATTTGGACGAAGATTAGCAATGTTTAGTTTGATGGAGTGAATAACTGTAATTTCAGATCAAATATGCAAATAATGATGATTGTAATAATAGTAATAATCACAATTGGGATAATGATCATTGTGGTAAAATTAGATAATAGTGATAATAAAGATAACGATAATAAAGGTTATCTTAATGAATGTTTCCTTTGGAGAATCTATGTAATATTTTATATTATGTTGGATAAGTATTATATGCCATTCATCCACTTTTATCTATCCTACTTACCTATACGTGTACAGGTAATATTGACTTAATCATAGGAGTGAATAAAGAGAAAAAGAAGGGGAGTCGTACAGGAGAGAGAGAGAGAGGGAGATATATATATATATATTTGGATGATTTCATATCCGTGGATGAATGAGTTTTTCGGCAAAAGTAAATAATATAAAATAGAAAATTCAGGAAATTAATTACATCAACTTACAGTTCCTCAATTCCGATTTAGATTTGAATTTGATAGGAGGATGAATAACCGATTATTTCAGCAAGAATGTTCAAATAACCCAAAAAAAACTGAATGTAAATCAATTATAACGAAGTTATAATTTTCTACAGAAGATATGATAAAAGTAATCTTTCAATGATAATAAATAGACAATAAAGAAATGCTTCCAAATATGAAAAAAAAAAAGTTTTAAGTCTGTTTACGAACATATATTCAATATGAATATTCTGAATATCAATATGTCTTATCTTTGGTCATAAAAGTTACCTTAACTTACGTCTCGCCATAAAGGTTACCTTAACTTATCCCTCGCCGTAGTTACCATAACTTACATCTCGCCATAAAGGTTATCTTAACTTATCTCCTAACCAAAATTTACTGTCATTCTTTTTGTTATTTTTAAGCTATCAATCATTTTTCATCATTTCGTCAATTTTCAACTGGTTCATTTTGCTTTTTCCACTTTTTTTTTCTTTTAAAAAAGTTTTCCATCAAAGTGTCATTAAATGTTTTCTTAATGTAAATTTTGTCGTATTTGCATAGATATACTGTTCGTATATGTGTATGTACCTGTACGGTACTACGAAAATAAAAACCGATCGCATCTGTTGATAATTTCTGGAAAATTAAGAATATTTGAGGGAGAGAGAGAGAGGAGGGAGGGAGAGAGGAGGAGAGAGAGAGAGAAATAA